ATTTTGCCCTTTCTCAGTTTGCCTTGTGGACAACATTCTTAAATCTTTTGAAAGTTCCGTGAAGTCAAAATATTCATTGGGATTACTAAATAAGGTTGACGTCTTCTGGCCAATCGAAAAACCGGATAGAGTTGTGAGACTTAAAAAAGATCTCCAGCTCCCTTTACCGCAGTATGAATTGCAATGTGAGCAGAGTCTCCCTTCACTTTAGCCATGATTCGGCCACCGAGGTGCGTATACTAGCAACGATTATAGCATACTATGAGACCTATCTTCATTTAGGTCTCTTCGTGGGAATTATATATTTACCTTGACAGATAAGACACCCAGGGGTTAATGATTTGTTACCTATACTAATAGATATATAGTTATGCCTCTAAGTCAGATTAACCGGCAAGGAATAATACAGCTATATGCGGGTTATCTCAATGTTTGCTATTTTGTCAGTTAGGACACTTCGTGGGAAAGGCGACGATATGTTTCATACGCTCCGGTGCTGATCTCACAATACTTGCTCAACAAATTCATTACAATATCTCGAGGTAGAAAGTCAAGTAAATAAGTTGGGTATTATTGTCCAGATAATAATTTAAATACAATATAGACAAAAGGAGTATAAAGAGGACATAGCTGGACGACTCCTGCCTTCATTTGTTAATCTACAAATCACTAGCAGTTCCCTTTCAAACGTCAAACATATGTTAACAGTATCATACGGAAGTAATTACTAAATCCAGCTTACACTTTTGTTGTTGATGAATTTGCTTGACATACATACAGAATAATCAGCTATTAATCACAACATGTCATTCATCAACTCAAAGCCCCTTACGATTCATTAAGCCTCTTATAAAAAAACTTATGAATATTTACGTGTAGTTAATATAAAAACTCGCACGGGAGTGTTTGTAGATTCCAGCAACGGTTTGTATCATTTTTTTCTACCTCCTTCTATGTCTTCAGTTTTAATACCTTGAATGGTACTGTCGGTTCTCATAGTAGTTCTAGGTCAGCCGAGTGTCTTTTTATATCCTTGCGTTTATGTAGGTCTTGTCGACAAATGGGTGAAGAATTGCTCCAATTTTTTATAATAATGGTAGTAGGCGTTTGCTTTGGCCTAACCTATCGGTGCGGTGGTTCGAACATTCACCAATTGATTGTCGCCAAACTGCGGGAAAAGGAACAAAGGACAATTATATCCTATTGTTCATAATACGGATACACTTCACGTAAACAACACTTTTCGACAGAGAAAGGTCCTCAGTTCTTCGAACAACGTTTCTTATAGCATATATCTGATGTTGAAACAGGACTCTGGAACCGCTGAAGTAGATCTTACGCAAACCTCAAATTCTGAGGAGCTGCAACAATGATATATTTTCCAACATAATTTTGGCGGAATGACATTTTGAGTAATTTCACATGTTTCTATAAATCAGAATTTGGTAGCGTGACTTATGTATTCCACATCCTGTTTTTAGAAGACTCTTTTTCTTCCATGTAGGTTAGGCTTGCATCAGATGTGAGGAATATGACCTTTATCCTCTGACGGTAGCTATTTGGCATGAAACACATGAGCATGTTCTATCGGTATCGTCATCAGTTCATAAATGGAATAAGACAGCGCCATAGACCTTATCAGTGTGGTACATTTAAAATTGGCTTGTTCATTTCGCTTGTGTACCAGATCAAACTTATAAAACAATACTTAGGTTTCCTTTTTAAAAAGGAAAACCAATAAGCGTAGTTATAGCGAAGCATGACAAATAAATGCAAAAAATTGTTAAAAGTTACTTAACACCTAATATGTAAGCCGTTATGTTTACACGATTTTTCCTAACATTTCACTTTTATTGTCATGGTCTATAGATCTATGCCGCCGATATTCCAAGTCGGTGGCATAGAAATAATGTTTCTGCTCAAATGTATGACATGTAAAAGTAGTAGCAATATTTCTAAAGCAGAAGGTACTAACACGAAGAATTGGGCCCCTAAAGCAGAAAAAATAAAAACAGTCAACTTAGGGGGGTTATCTCTATTATTAAATAAAAGAGAAATTTTGTCGCTCATTGTTTAAGATTATTTCTTTCAAATTTTTGCTGATGTTAATGCTTTCCATTGTGGTACTCCAGTTATTAATAATGTATCAAGCATTTCGAGTGGTATTTGGCGAATACCGCATGCAAAGCTGGTTTGAAATGGCTCTGTCTTATCCGACTTATCCATTTCGACGTTGGACTGAACGTAGTCTCAAAGCAAAAGGTCTAGTGTTGCAATACCACAATTTACTTCTGTATTATTGTTGCCAATGCCAAAGCAATGGTTTCACTTGCTGTATGGCAAGTACTTGTCTTATTTAATCTGAATGTCCTAAAGACAGTGAGTTAAATTTCAGGTACCAAATAGTGCGCTACTGCTAGAATGACTACCTAAACCCTAGTGTAGGAATTCGCTTGGTGATTGTTGTCAAACAGCTGAGCAGTTTGTAGGCAACGCTCTGTCGGGCGAAGTGATACATTTATAAACTTTCGTTGAGGATTGAATGTCAGAATGGTCTTTCTGTAAATTCTGAACCAGCTAACCATACCTTCATGAACGTTGGAGGGAGGATCTATCATATGTATACACACGAGTCTGTAACAGTAGTTATCACAGGCTGTCAGAGCTGTCACAAAGTTTTCTCTTCGCTGCATCTATTTAGCATTTTAATAATGATAATCGTCGTTATTACTATTATCTACACAAGGCGAGATTTAACTTAAATCTACTACTACACCTAAGGTTAGGTAGACAAATGAAATAAGAAACCTATCTTTACACTACAAATCTACCTATTCTACTTGTGCACCTGTTGTAATGCGCTAACAATTTACATGTGTCTATTAGACATTAATTGCTTAAGTGCTATCTCAGATTATTGTGCGGGTAATAGTTTAAGCTCTAAAGCAAGTGAGTTGAAATTAGTGGTTGATACGTACTTCTATGAAAATGTTCGAATGCCTCTTGAATATTTAACCAATGCAAGTCTTAAATTTTTTCAGACATACAGGTATGGGCATTAATAAAGTGGTAGCATATATATTTTGTTTAATTAGGAATCTGTATATATATAGTAATAATAAACTTAGAATCCATATCTAACTATAGAGAGAGTCAAGGTTCCACTTGACCGATATTTCAATATGTAACTTGAAATAAACCTATTATTCTATAGTGAACAAAGTCGTATGTACCTGTATGCTCTTTGGACTAAATTATTAACGTGATGTCAAAACCGAAGCTGCTACTCAGTTTGTACACCTCAAATTTTGGATACGTTACACAAACTCAGTTCATCACGGTTTGGTTTTCAGTGCTAATTATTTCCTTCAGCTTGTCAAGTATCTGGAAATCTTATTTTCTTCAGTAGTTTTACTTAAATTCACTGTTACTAATTATTATGCAAAACCGTGGATTCATTTGCAGATTGTGAGCAAATTAATTTTCAAGCTGAATAAATACGCTCAAACTGTTAAACAAACATTACAATATCCATTCAGCTCCACTCTGTCCGTTTGTTATTTGTTATAAGATAGAAAAAGTATACAAGCTTCATTACTATTTTGCATTAGTCACTTAAATTTAGCTCAAAAGACCAAACCGGCAATAATATGACATATTTGATGACTCAAAATGCTAAATAGAGCGACCGGCAAAGAAAAATCTTTTTGACATTGATGGTAGCTTGTGATTTAAGGTCTACTGCGAAATACAAATTTTAAATCATCCTTGAATCTTCCTCAATGAAACGTTATTGTTTGTTCAAAATTCAGGAAGAGATCATTCATCAAGGCACATTTATAAATGTAACTTCAATTTCCATGATACAATATCAGACAATATTGAATAGAAAGACAATGGAAGGTCAAGAATGCTGGTGGTCAATCTGTCAACTCCAACATAGGAAAAAATATACTTCTAAATGAACCATCCGTTAACTTGTTGTACACATTAAATCAAATCAGAAGCAATTTCATAAAATACAGTCTAGCTCCACCCTCGTATATCTACATTTCTATTGGTTTGTACTCTTGAAACATTTGCAGCGTGACATGGTACAGTTAACCTTTTTTAGCTGACTGAGAAATATCAGATTGTGCACGAGCGTGGAAGTTCTTATTCATGACCTTTCGTAGGCAAACGGAAAGGTTATACTTTGTGCAATCGCGTTTGATGCAATCAGCCCTAATTTATAATTCCTAGCCTTAAATGAATCATATTTAGCACCTTGCTTTGCTGAAATGATGATTATTTCCTTGATAATTTTCAGAGAGTTGCCAATGTTTCTATGCTAATGAAACGCGAAACTTAGACAAATTAGAGAATCTTGGAAAGGAATACAAGTAACAGAAGTTATGTTGAAATCCAGAGGGCGCTTCGAAAATATGAGTCAATCACTCAACATATGATTATTTGTACTGTCCTACGACTTTCTATAGCCTTTTGAGAACTTTTGAACTTCGCTTGAACGATATAGGGCAAACAAATTATAATAATTATAATAATTCTCTTCTTTTTTTATATACTCCAACTACCACGAAGGCCTAAGGCCTAAATACCCATTGGGTACCGTGGGGCTACAGAGGGATTCAGGGGAAAGGGGGAACGCCACACGGACTTTGGCGAGGGAACACGTGTGCATGCAACATGCACACATTCTGGCTCCGCCTACAAGATCCGCCGGGTGGTATAGTCAGAGACCGTCTACCACCTACGGACAATCACAACATCCATAGCCAAGAGAACAATTTCTCCTGAGACGGGATTCGAAACCGCACAGCGCAGGCGACTGATCAGGAGACCGAAGAGTCTACTATTGCGGCCACCACTGCTGCCTACTGGATCGATGTTTGGAGCAAAAATCTAATGTGAAGCTTTTTAATTTTCTTAGGTATGTTCAAAATAACTAGATACACTAGAATACTGAATTTTAATCTACCGGACCACTTCCAATCGCTCACCCAAGTCCTGTTATTGTCGAAAATTTTGTCCACCACCCAAATTTCCACCACTTGCTTCGGGGCACCCTGTTTGAGGATTTGAGCAAGGAATATTCCAGCCATATTTTATAATAAGTCTAATAAAAACAACACTTGAAAAATACTATATGTCATACATTTACAAATTTTGCTCAAGATTAAGTATTCGCAATTAATCCGCACGTCTACTTGAGGGTCTCACTTTATCTATCTCTAATTGGAAAAATCTATAATTCGCGAAGGTGATGTTTATATTTTTGGCTAACGCAAATATGTTATGATGTTATATAATCAATTAAAAAAAAACTCTGCGACCAGACCTCCAATCCACATTTATTCGTATTATTGGTACAGAATCCTACATTTAACTTTCCAGTGACATGTAAACAAATAGGGTTCAAATACAATTTTCATTTGTTTTTTGTAAAGTAGTCGCATGCCTAAAGTTTTGTTTTACATAATATATTTTTGAAGAGCAGTACGTGACGTCTCCATAAACTGAGTAAACCGATTTCTAGCGTTTGTCACGACTCTTGCCAGCATATTATATGCAGGGTGACTTCGAAGTTGAGTCATTTATTTTAACTGTGAGTAGATCTGATCAAAAGAAATGTTTTTTTCCTTTAAAATTTTTCTGGTAAAATTAAAGTAACAAAGTTATATCCCTTTAGAAGTTTGAGTACCGCCCTGTCTCAATAATAATATTATGTGCTCGTGTATGGCAACAACGGATATATCGGTTCATCGCATCGGAAACAAAAAAGCGAAAGAATTTGAAACGTTTTTCGTCATTCGGTAACGCGTGAGTGAATAGTGGTGTTTGTTGCGTGGCTCAAACGAAATAAAAAATGGCACATGTTTACGAAAATGCTCAACTTGTGGACATGATTCTTATTTACGGGGGGGGAGTCTTTAAAAAATGCTGCCGCGGCATCACGGATTTGTGCGAATCGGTTTCTCAATCGAGTGCAACCAACCCCTTGTGCCTTTGTTAATGTAGTACAAGGGGCTCGTGAATCAGGTGACTTAAGACCTCACAGGGGAGGGCATGCCGGTGCTCCAAGACCGCACGATCAAATACAGGACCGCACTGAAATACTTGTCGGGAGGATACTTTATAAAACAAGGTAACATTTTTTTTTATTTTTTTTTTAAACACATATTTTGGTTTATCTTCCTTCTACAATCATTATCTGAAAATTAATGACTCAACTTCAAAGTCACCCTGTATATTATATTATCTTGTAGCGACGGTTCACATAAGCACGGGATTTAAGAAAACCTCGCAGCCCTTGAAGTGTGTGACATATTGCTCCGTCTTGTTGAAACCAAATGTCTCGTAAGTCCAACTCATCTAGCTGTGGAAGAAATATTCATGTAAAATGTTTACACACGGCCCAAATTCACTGTCACTGCGACGACATTTTTCCCAAAGAACTAGGCACTAATACATCGTGGTGCAAAGGAAACGCATGATTGTCACGTAAGGATACCATTTTTCATGTTTAAGATAATTTTATTTTAACTACAGCTAAATAAAGTAACAATAGTGCACTTTTAAGTTAATTATGGTAAATTATGTCGCTCAGGTGTAGCCCTTCTTCGCGCGCGCACATCTCCAACCGCTCTTGAAAGTTGTGCATTACACGTAGGATCATTTCTTGTGGTATTTTTGCGAGCTCTTGACGAATAGCAATTTTCTGTTCCTGTAACGTACGGGGTTTGTGAGGGTACACTCTAGCCTTAAGGTAACCCTACAAAAAGAAATCACATGCAGACAAATCTGGGGAGCGTGGAGGCCAAGAAACATCGCCGAAACGGGAAATCACATGTTCGGGAAACATTTGTCGAACACATTCCATTGATGCTCTCGGTGTGTGAGCTGTAGCACCGTCTTGTCAGTTCTCTCATGTTTACTTGTTGCCGTTCAAGTTGGGGTAACAGAAAAAGTTTAAACATGTGAACATAACGTGCTGAAGTAACTGTTACTGCCCTTTCTTCCTCCTCAAAAAAGTAAGGACCAATGATACCTAATTTACCAGCACCACACTGTCAATTTTCCACTATGCAAGGATCATTGGTGTAGCTCTCTGTTGGTTTACATATCCCGTTAAATGGAAGTGTGCTTCGTCACTCATCATTATGACGACGTTAGGATCATCAGCCTTCTCGCACAAAACTGTCTACGCTGTGCAAAATCACTTTCCGTTAGCTCTTGCACAATCATTTTCTTATAGGGATGAAATTGAAAATCGTGCAGAAGACGTTGTAACGATCGACGGGACATACGCAGAGCTGGAGCTTGTCGCCTAGTGGACCGTTGAGGACTATCAAGCACCGCTCTTCTCACTATTTCGATATTGCCTGGTGTTCGAACGGTACGGGGAAGGCCAGGTGGCTTCCTCTTCAGTACATATCCAGTAGTTCGAAATGCCTCAACCCATCAGAGTATCGTATTTCGATTTGGAATTGAACCTTGGCGTTCAACATTGAACTGGCGACGGAATAAACGTTGCACGGTAACTACAGAATCATTGTTTCGGAAAAATTGCTCGACGGCAAACACACGATGCTCAGTTGTCCACGGTGCCGTGGCTAAAACTGCATTGCCTGTGTTCCCTGCTGGCGGTGAGGCAAGGTCAACCCACTTCTCTTTGCGAAATACTATTCACTCAGAAAATATGCGTTTCCTCTACGGTACCCTGTATAATTCCAGCTGAGGAACCACACTGTAACTTTGAGGTAATTTTTGAGAACTGGTGTTAGGTTTGTAGCACATCTTTCGTTTGCTGATGGATTCACACAAATGAAAAAGGGCTTCGTCGCTAAAAAACAAGAACAATAGGGTCCTCAGGAACGACTTCGAGAAGATCGCCATATCGAAGTTTTTTTTATGGTTCAACCATCATGAAGGTCTAAGGCCTAAACACCAACGGGTACCCTAGGGCTATAGGGGGATTCAGGGGAAAGAGGGACTCTAGCGAGGGAACATGTGGGCATGCAAGATGCACACGTTCTGACCCCGCCTTAGACATCCGCCGGGTGGTACCTCCGCGTCCGACAGTCAAAGGCGTCTACCATCTACATTGCTCTCATTGCTTCAATGTTGTCAGGTGGCCTAATGGGCCGAGTACCTACTACTAGTTAATTGTAGTTTATCTGAACGTAGTGACCACAGTAACAATTATTGATTTCCGGTTCAAGTCCTAGTGCCTGTAACCTATGGGTATATTTTGCAGTTGAAGTTAAAGCGAAGTGTTGACGGAAGTTAACTGATACCCCTCCAGAAGTGCGCTGGTTATTGGATTCTTTTGGCGCTTTTATACAATTTCCAATGTCGTATTAAAATTTCACATTTTTGTGGGTTCAGACTTAAACTTGAAACGTTTTGTCTCTATTGGGATTCAGCCAATGGCGCTAGAAACGATTATGTTGTCTGAAATGCTTCACAGTTTGCTTGTTATGCCACTAAACTTTTTTCCACTTATTCTTTAACTTTATTTGTATTGTTTTCACTTTATTGGTTTCATATTTTGGGATACATTTAAAAGTTAAATGACAACTTGACCTGAATCCAGAAACACTCCAACGGTCTAAACACTAGAACACAATTCGTAAATCATTGCTAGTTTGAAACCTCTCGAGTTGATAGTGCAACGGCGATATTCCAATCCGTTCAGACAGGTCGTTTAAATACAACCGGGATTTAAGAATTCGAATTCAAACCATCGGTATCGATTCTTTCGATATTATTGATTCCCTGTGCCGTATATAGAATATACAGGGTGCCTAAGATAAGGATCCTATCCATGGGAATCTTAATTTCCTGTGGGACATACAGCTTATGTTAAATTGGAGAAAAATTATGTTCTTGAAAAACTAAAATCATTTTTATTTTTCCTGACTTTATTTCAAGAAATATCTAAAATTAATAAAACTTTTCCATTGGCACCTTTCAGGTTGATGGTGTTTTTAAATTTTTTGGCAGATGTTTCATTTTTGAGAAACCATCATTAACTTTATGTTTTTATATGGTCCGAAAAATCTGACTCTGTATCTAATAGCATCTTTTATACGAATTCAACGATGTATCACACATTTATTTTCTTAAATGCGTTTTTTCAGATTTTTTCATTTTTTTTCAAGTGGGCGTTGCAAATAAACGCTTGACTTAACGAAAATTCCTGCTACCATTATTGTGTATTGCTAATATTGCTTTAAGTTCGACATGCTGAAAAAATTTAAAAAAAAGAAGTGTCTAAAAAGTGCCGAAGATAAAGTTCCATCAGTTTTTTGATAAGGTCAGACAAAAAATAAGAACTATTTGGCTTAATTTCAGATTTTCGCAAATACCTCGGTAAGCCATGAAATTTTCACAAGTTTCTCTTCAGCATGTAAATACGCCGCAAAAAACGTAGCATTTTCCCAATTTAACCTGAGCTAGGTTTTGAGATTCCCTTGCATAGGATCTTGGACACCCTGCGTAGATGACGGTCAGAGTCGGATGCGTTTGTGACTATAAACTGTTAGATAACTTGAGACAGCAACAGTCTAGACAGGAACGAATACAGTTTCGTACAGTAATGAAACTATACGAACTGGAACCTAATTCAAAATTACTGGTTTGGGTACTGCAAATTTTGATGAGCGAAGACGAATAAGCCTGAGGGACTACTTGTATTTAAAAACTGCGGTCGAACGGTAACAGCAGGAATTTAAAAGCCAAATATTCCTTACCTCTTCATGTACCTTAATAACGATCTTGATTACCATGTTCCAGGAATTTGGAAAATCGCTTGCGGATTCATTGATGAACAAACAGTTGTTGCGCATGTCTTGCTACATTTCCCATTCATTTTCTAGGTGCAATCAGGTAATAATCCGTTAATTTCCCCACCTAGCATTAATTAAAAAATTATGATTTAAATAGTCTACGTGAAAGTGAATACTCGGACGTTATTTTGGCGTTTCTAAACATAGGCACGCACTTCCTATAATTATTCGACAATGGTTGATTGAATGCAAAAATGGAATCTACGAGAACATAGAAAGTAAAGTATATAGACTACAAAAAGTAAAATCAC